TAATAATAACTTACCTCTTACATTTATCAACTTTTTTAGTTATAGGGAAAACTGTAAATATATTCTACGATCTGCTCTCAACTTTAAATTATCGGTACCTAAATACCGAACTGTTCATTACGGCTACGAATCCATACAACATAAAGGCATACAAACCTGGAACAATCTCCCTTCCCAATTAAAATCTTTTAAATCATTAACCGGTACCAAAATTAAATTTTAATTTTGGTACCGGTTATTGGATTTATTATTATAAACTGATATGTTTCTATAGTATTCCTTATCACTGTTGTTGTTATTATTACTATATTTTATATCATAATTTATATCATAATGAATATTATTGTAATTGTTATTATTGTTGTTGTTATTATTTTTGTTGTTATTATTGCTATTATTATTGCTATTATTATTACTATTATTGTTATTATTATTATTATTATTGCTATTATTGTTATTATTATTATTGTTATTATTATTATTATTATTATTATTATTATTATTATTATTATTATTATTATTATTATTATTATTATTATTATTATTATTATAGTATATTCTTTTTATAATAGCTACTATTATTTTTTTTATCACTATAATCACTACTATTACTTTTATTATTCCTACTTGTATTATAATTATTATTATTACTATCTCCATTTTATTTTTATTTATTTTGACAGGTGTTTACTTTATATTAGTACAAATTACTATTTGTAAATATCCTTGATGTAACAACTTTATTCAGAATATTTGATTTGATTTGATTAAACTTTATTAGTTTTCAAATATCTTAAATATATACTTTTAAATTAAGGTTTGAATGGTTTTAACCCATATTCTCTCTTTCACGGTATATATAACCATATATATACTTTAAAAGAATGACAATAAAACAAGCTTATTGAGCACAAGCTGTGATTAAATAAAAAAACAATATGTCTCAAGAAAACAAATGCTATTCGATAAGCTAATAGTACTGCTCGGAAGACATACATACATAATAGAAAAACAAAAAAAAGTTAAAAATAAATTTTGGGCACTTCTTAAATATTTTTTTATTCTTCGTCTTCTGGCGTCCTATTATCTTGGCGCCTGGCAGATATATGCTCCTTTTGCCCCTTCCTCTCAGCGGCCCTAAAACCAGGTCTTTATTAAGATTTTTGATAAAAATAATGTACTAAAAACAGTATATAGCTTTTTAATGTTTTCTTACAACTTTTAATAAATGTTTGCAATAATTAAAAAAGTGTCTAATTTTTCTGATTTTGTAGTGCTACCAAAATTACAATATGTGTCTGAAAATAGCACAGTGTGCTAAATTGACCGTCAGGTTTTAAGTGCGCCCACACTGGATTTTAAGTCCGCCCACTCTGAATTTTAAGCCCACCCACTCTGGATTCTAAGTTTGCCCACTCTGGATTTTAAGTCCGCCCACTCTGGATTTTTTTTGCTTCCTATGAAGATACCTACCAATTAATTGTAAAAAAAAAAATTAATTCACATCTATCAAGGGACGTCTGAAAAATTGCTTTTTATGTGCACCCAGACCTCTAAAAAGGGTGGGGTGTGTGTGTGTGGTAAAAAAAAATTTTTTAACATTTTATTTGTAGTTACATATGTAAATAGTATTTTGTAAATAGTATGTAAATAGTATTTGTATTACATATGTAAATAGTATAATCTTAGTTTAGTTCATTAAATACTGGTGAAAGCAGGGGTGTGGGGTCGTAAAAAAAAAGTATCAACTCCGACTCCGACTTCAATATTTGAAATTTTTGGAGTACGACTCAGGCTCCAACTTTAACTCCGACTCTAAAACCAAACGAATATGGACAACATTTTTTTTTACAAATTTTTGAAAAATGCGATAATTATAATTTTTATCTTTTACAAAATATATGAAAAAATTTTTAGAAGGTTAAATATTTTATACATGCGCGTACAATACCGAAAAGTTTTACCATTGGAGTCGGAGTCGCGATTTTGTTTAGCGACTTTGTTTAGCGATTTTGTTTAGCGATTTTGCTTAGCGATTTTGTTTAGCGACTCTGACTCCGCTAAAAATGTCGCGGCTCCAACTCCACGACTCCGACTCCAACTCCGACTCTACAGCCTTGGGTGAAAGTCTATTACAAAACTTTTTCTGGTACATGCCTAACACAAACATAAACCTAAATTTTTTATTAATATTTGTCACTTTTCTTAAAACAATTTTTAGGCCATGATTCTCATAATCTTGAACTTGCACTAATCAGGCCTAAATGTTTAACAAAATGAGTTTAAAATTGATTAGTTGTGTATGCGTGTTTTTAATTTTATAAGATAAATAACTGTTAAGATAAAAAAAATTAAATAAAGTTTTAAATAAAAATTAAATAAAAAAATTAAATAAATCTTATTTTACTGTAATTTAACGTAAATTAATTTAATTTTTAAACAATTAAGCATTCAAAGAAAAAAGATTAAACAACAAGCATATGTAACTATATTATATTAAAAGTTATGTTACATATACATAATACCCAGAACGTTTCCCAACTTTATATATGTATGTATATATATATATATATATATATATATATATATATATATATATATATATATATTTATAAATCCATCGACATCGACTAACAAATAGTCTGACTGGCAGCGGAGAGCTGCTACATTGACTGAGGGTTTAGCATCGGGCAGCAATCTTTCATTATTTTAAGATAAGCAAAACTAGTAAGCAAATGCTTATCTAAATAGTTTATAGAAGATATATATATATATATATATATATATATATATATATATATATATATATATATATATATATATATATATATATATATATATATATATAAATGTATATATATCTGCCCAACATGAGGAGACAACACTTTCTTCCTCAAGTTTATCTTATTGCCATACAGCTCGACACCAAAGTATAAGTACTTACTACATTAGCTAAAAGTATACTACATTATATTAAGATATTTTATAAAAACATCAAATAGGAAATAAAAATCAATTTTTATTTGTATAAAAAGTTATTTAAAATATTTAATTAAACCAAAATCATAACTTTAATTTTAAAAGGCTCAAATCAAGAACAATTTTATATATATTTCTGACACAACTATTATTCTATTAAAACTTTAAACAATTTTTTGTTTCTTTAAATTTTGTTAACAGTCAGCTGCTAATAAATAGTTAACTTACTCTGCAATTTTCCAGAGACTTTTATTAAATTTGATTTAAGAGTTTAAATTTAATATTAGCTTGAAATACATCTTAAATTTACTAGATGATTTTTATCCAATTTGTCTTATTTTATTTTTAATAAATTAAAGATAAACCATTTAGTTTTAATTTTTAACTTTAGTTTTTCTTATTATATACTCTTAAATTGTATCAAACAGTTTAAGAGTATACAAATATATACTCTTAAATTGTATCAATTTAGAAATATATATATATATATATATATATATATATATATATATATATATATATATATATATATATATATATATATATATATATATATATATATAACAGCTAAACAGAAAGACTCAGTTGTACATGGTTAACCTGCTTATTCATACCAGGTTTTAACCATTCTATAAACATACTTTCTTTAAGTATTAGCTCAAATTTGTTAGATGCCGAATCTAACACAGAAAACACTTAACATTTATTTGCATGAAACAGTTTTCATTAGCATGGAGATGTTTATACATATGAGACTTTTTGTCCCTCTTGAATTGCTCAGATATCTGGGCCTTGAGATGGTGATTAGTTTCGCCCATATAACATTCGTATGTGCAGGAGACCTCCTGCACATACGAATTTATACACCACAAACGATTTGAACTCTAAAGAAATAAGATCTTTAGAAGAAAATAATTTTTTTCTTAATAATTTTTTTCCAATAAAAGTTTAAAAAGCTCAAACTTCCAAACTAAACCAAACCAAAACCAAAACAAGAAAATTTGTTAGAGTACCAGAAATTTTAGGGGTACTAAAAAATGTTTTATAATTGACTCTCATTAATATATTCAATCAGATCCAAAAAAATAAAAATGTGAAAAATGTTTTTTCTAGCACAGATCCACTCCACCCTTTTAGGCGTCTGGGTGCCCATAAAAAGCAATTTTTCTCACACCTCTTAATAAATGTGAATTTAAAGTTACATTAAAAAAAATATATATATATTTTGGTAAGTATTTTTATAGGGAACAGAAAAAATTCGGCGTCGGCGGAAATAAATGATGTTGACAATAATATTTCATTTCTTTTAACAACAATTAAACGTTAGAGAATTTATTATTATGCAAATTATGTTAATGTTATGCAAATCCTAAATTTGCATGACATTATGTGTGATCCAAAACGAGTCTCCAATTTTTCTGATTTTAATTTTAAAAACGTTTAGAATTCGGAAACGAATTAAACGTATTAAACGAACGTTTTCTTTGTTTGTGTATTTGTATGTGCGTGTGTGTTTGAAAAATATTAAATAAAATCAACAAACATTTTAAAGCACAAAAGTAAACAATAAAATTCTTTATACATTTAACACAAATTGACGTCAGGGTCTAGGTCTGCGAGTTTGCAATATATGTTACATGGTATTAGTCAAAATTCTTAAATATGTCCCTGCTCTTTTTTTAAATCTTTTATAAAAAATTTAGCAACTGCTATACACACAAAGTTTAATTGAAAAAGATCTGACGGTAGCTAACAAGTTTTATTTTTATAACCATATTTTTTTTCATTTTTTATAAAATGTTTTTTATAATTTATTTAGTTGCAATACAACTCACTGTATTTAGTTGCGATACAACTCACTTGATTAAATTGCAACACAACTGGTTAGATTTAATCATCATAAGTAAAAAAGAATAACTATCAATCTATTAATTGATTGTAACTACTAATATTGACCGAAGCAAACATGCTAACTGTATTAAATTAATTATATCCCGAAGTTAAATACAATATTAACTTACCTGAAATATAGAAAAACAATCCTATGAAAGTAACTCGCAGCATTTCAAAGCAAATCAAAAAATGAGTTAACCTCTTCTATAAAAACCCTTAAAAGACAAAAACAAAGTATTGAATAACATTTGATATTTGATAATTGTGTTTATTTGCTTTATTTTGTTTGTTTTGGTTTCGATTTCATACATAAAGGCATATGCAAGTTTCTTAAAAATTACAATATGAAGGAGTTTCAAAAAAATGAAAGTGAAAACAAGCTATCACTAGAGGCGCATCAAATGCGCCATTATTGTGCTTTTGGCGGTGTGAGGGTAATTACATTATTGTGCTTTTGGCGGTGTGAGGGTAAAAGACAAATTTTATGACAACTTTTATAAGTTTAAATATAAATACTTCTATAATGCTAAAATACAAATCTTTATATATCTGAATTACTACTTATTATTTAAAAAATTAATTATTTTTTTCAAAATGCAGTTATTTTAGTTTTAATAAGTTGTTTGAAACAGCCTAATGCATGCTTTCTTTATTGTCTTAATAACTTACATCTCTTTTATATCTTGTCTAAGCTAGTTTAAACATAGAGTGAGTGGCTTCTCCAGTTTGTTCTTCAATTTTGGCTAAGTCACATTGAATTTTTTAAGCAAAAGGAACAATGTAGTGACTAGGTTGCTAAGAACATACTATAAAACCCATAAATGTGTGTAATGACAGTGGCAGACTGGCCCCAGGGAGCACCGGGAAAATTCCCGGTATGAATTTGGACCAATGGTCCGGCCTAAATCAGGTCGGTTAAAAATTTCAAAATAAGTAAACGCAAGAAAAGAAAGAGAGGAGCTGAAAAAATTTATCTAATTAGAATTTGAATATTTTCTCAAGTTTTATCAATTTTTAACCCGTTTCTATACTTTCTTTTATTTTGATGTGGGCCGGAAAAATATAAAATTCCCGGGCCTTTTTCAAGCCTCAGTCCACGCCTGTGTAATTATGATGGAGTAATTTTGTTTATCATTCTAACTTGTGGGTCTTCATCAAGGTGAATAAGTTTTTTTTGAATAATGTTTATATCCAACTGGGCTTCTTTTTTTGCTGCTGCTGCTTGAAACTTAGGAAGATAAAAATCAAGGCTTACAAACGTCCTTAGAGTTTCTATGGTTTACTTCTGATCTCTTTTTTTTTAATACTGATAAATTTAAGTTTGTCAGGATCAAAGATAATTGATGTAAAATAAGGTTTAATGCTCTCTTACATCAATTGGTGTAGAATAAGGTTTAATGATCTCTTACATTAATAAATAACTAAAAATTAATGCTCTCTTACTTCTAATGTTCAAAAAACAAAATTAAAAGATTCATTAATTAAAACTTGACTGCTAAAAACCTTTTTATCACCAAATTCAAATTTAATAAACTAAACACTGTAATAAAAATTCACCGTTAGTTCAAGATCTGAGAGTAATTTTGTCACTCCTTTCCAGTACTTTAATTCCAGTAGTCTTCTTAAAAGTAGAAACCAGTTTTCTATATTCACTGTTTGAAAGATCAAAATTTATTCAGCTGTTTGAATTTTTGAAAGAAGATTTTCTGGATTCTCCTTTAATCTTAGGATGACTAATTCTTATTCATTTAATCATAAGAGACAGTGTCAGCCTAAGTCTTCTTGCCAACCACATGCAACATTTTTCGGCTGCCTCAGACAAAATTATAAATTTGCGAGTAAATTATACGGAAAATATTAACAAATCATACTTAAAGATAATATGTTACAATGTTTAATTAAATAGTTTAGATAAGAGGAACATTTCATTTACATTAAATTTTTTACACTAAGCAAGTATTATGTTAAAATAGATAATTATTATTTTTAACTAATCTATTTTGCCGTATACCAAAATTCTTGACTAATCTAGAAAAACCAAGGTTCTTAACTTAAGTTTAAGAACCAATAGGGTTCTTAAACTTAAAAGTATATGACTCATCGAGTACATTACCGTTCATAAATATAGGAAGATCTAGATGATTACGATAACGATTAGCTGAAAAAAAATTCAGTTTTATGTGAGTTAATTTCACCAGTCAACGAAAATGTGATCAATGCTGTCGCAGAGGTAAGATCCCTTTCAAGCTCAAATACCCCCTCCAAACAATCAGAGAGTTTTAGCTTCTTAACAAGAAAATAATGTATGGTAGTATCATCAGCGAACAATTCTACCTTAGATGTGAGAAATTTGGGACGATCGTTAGATCAAGAATTTTGGGAAGATTGTTAATGTAAATTAAAAAAAGTTTAGGGCCAAAAATAGAACTTTGACGAACGCCTGAAATCACAGTATATAAAGAAGAGTGCTGTTCATTGAGGACAACTTTTATGCTACGATTGGTAAAGAAGGATTTAATAATCATAAAGATTTAACCTAGTACACCGTAAAAGTAGAGCATTTGAAGAAGTCCGGCATGCCAAACTTAAGAAAAAGAAATGTCAAGAGCGATAGCCTTAAAATCTTCATTTCTATCAAATGCACGATAAGATTTATTGATTATTATTGTTAGCAAATTAGCTGTAGAACGTTGTAGAAATTAGGTGTTTGTTAATCAAAAACTCAAAAATCTTGCTTCTGATAAGAAGAAGATTTATGGGATGTAGTTAGTCAAGTAAGATCGCTCGCCGGAGTTTTTAAAAATAGGGAAAACCGATGCCGCTTTCCAGCAGGCTAGAAAACAAGACTTTGACAAGCACTTGTTAAATGTTTTGTAAGTAGAGATGATAGCTTCTTGGAACACCTCTGCTTGACTACGACAGGTATGTTATTCGGACCACAAGCTATAGAAGAGTCTAAGCAGGAAATCACTTGGCAATGGATTAACCTGTTTGTCGACTATATCAGGTAGAACGCTTTTAGTGAAATTTAGAGATGATATTGATGAAAAGTTCTTAGGAAACAATTCAGCTTTTTCTTTAGATGAAATTACAAAAACTGAACTTTACAAGAGAGATGAAGTAACAGATTTTCCTTATTATAGAAACTGTTAAACATTTTTCAGAAGTTTACGAGAGCCTAATTTTTTAGATAAAATACGATATTTTTTTACCTGAGAGTAGCGAGTTTCGGCGTGTGACTAAACCTTTTTACAATGGTTTCTAGCTGTAGTGAACAGACGTCTATTTTCTGGAGAATTATTTTGCTGACAGATATGGAAGTAATAATTATGATTGGAAATTGCAGCAGTACAATGTGAAGAAAACCATAAAGAAGATTGAGGCTTGACTTGGAATTGTTGAGAGGGAATATAGACTCCACGCCAGCTATAATCCAAGAAGTTACGTTAGAAGCAAATTTGTCAGCAGGAAGACGAAAGTGTTCTATAAGAACCATCATAAAGAAAATAACGGAATGAGTCCCAGTCAGCTTTAAGGTAGTTGTAAAAGGCACGATTATAGGGAGATTATGGTGATCAAGAGGAACGGGATAAAAGTTTTACAGAGATAAGGTCAACAGAAGAAAAGTTATTTCGATGAACATGGATATTAGTTAATGATAGGTTTAGAGATCTTGCTGATAACGATGGTTTTTTGTGTTTTATAGTTTTTCGTATTTTAGTCTTTTTTAAATTTGTTAAAGAAATGACTCAAAGCATAGATAGTACTCAGTATTATTTAATAGTCCAAGCAATTACCTCGTTGCTATTAATAATCTCTGAGCCGTTGCAAAAGGCTCCAAATGTGGCCCTAACAATGCATACGAAAAAATGCATACAAAGTACGAACAGGGACACCACCCATGCAAAAAAACGCTTTGTTTGTGTTCTGATATTTTACAGCTGTTGATGGAATCAGCCTCTCTGAGAGCTACCATAGAGTTTGGGAAAACTCACTACCGACCGGCTTCAGAACCATAAAATGAGTTTGAAAGCTGTACCCTCATTAGGAACCCATACATTGAGTCAGGAAGATCCAGCATTCAACATCTTAAACTGGAAACAATGTATTATAAATACATCTTCGCCAGCCTAATAGATGAAGAAGGGGTGCGAGGCTGGTCAAAAAAATAAAGTCTGTTATCCCCTTAAATAATATATGGTATAGATATAATAGTACATTACTTGCAGAAAGCAAACCGTAATGCGGTTTAGTAATGAATAAATAACCATTTTAACCATTTTAACTATTTTTATATTATCGAAAAATATATAATACAAATTCATCTATATAAGGCTGCTATTGTCTTGGTTTATCCACTGAAGAACGCAATAAAAGTTTTACTTAGTTTAGCATTTTGCTCTTCTCCTAAAATTCGAGACAATGGCAGCCTTTTATATATATAATATAATCTTTTTAGCTTTGCTCGCTTTTGTTGGTCTTGGCATTTAGTGAAGTCCACGTAACTTAAGATATTAGATTATTTTTAATAACAGCAAGCACCAGAGAAAAAAAGCTATGTACAACTTACTAGTACCTTAAAAAAAAAGATCATCTTAAACTACAAAAACATTATTTTACATATTTATTATTGTGTTTTAGAGTAAGTAAGTTTATTGATAAAGGGGAGCATTATTTTACATATTTATTATTGTATTTTAGAATAAGTAAATTTCTTAGCCATGAGGAGCATTATTTTACATATTATTTATTGTATTCATGAATTAGTGACTCGTAAAATATTTCTTAAACATGGTCATTATCAATTATGGCACCAAAAAAATACACAAAAGCTTAGTTATAACAGAGTGATCTAATAATGCTCTCCTTTATTAATAAACTTTTGTTAAACAAAGAGGAGACAAACTGTGTTTCAAAGGCACTGTGGTAAAAAAAAGTTACAATAAATTATTATATTCATATCTTAAGTTATTGTTTTTAATGACAATGACAAAAAAATATTTATTAGCACAAAATAGCTATAGCATAGTTAACCATTAAAAAAGGCTTTTTATAATCTTTTCTTTCACTTGAGGTTTTGTGGTTTATCCTCCCCCAGCCAATTGTCTTGCGGAGGCCACATTACCTCGGTCCGCAGAGACTTGTTTTGGCTCCTAAAAGAGCGTCATAACCCACTCTACGGACTAAGAGTAAGGTGAATGAACTTATGCCAGTTTTTGTAACTGCTTCATACTAATGCCAGTTCGCACTTATGCCAAT